AGATGTCTAAAAAAAACGAAGAAATTAATTTGATGTTTGCTATCAATTTAAATATTTAATTCTTTTAAACCAAATAGTTTAGGGATTTAATATAAGTTAAATACTATATTTATTAACATATTTATAGAGAACATATTAAAAAAAATTATTTAAATTATAACAGTTTGTTTACCTGACCAATCGTACTTTTTTAATATTGTAAAAAAAAGTTACGGTAACATCTTTATCAGTTTGAATCTATATATATAGTTTATGAAAAACTAGGTAATCCGTATGAGTAGACCCAAGGAGGATAAAATCCAGAGAGCTCAATGTAAATCCAGAGCAAATAATTTAAATAAAAACAGACCACTTTAAGGTTCCAAGTAATAAATTATTTCACCACAGCCCTTTTAAAAGACTGCGGCTCATTAGACTTTACTTCCAAAGAAAAAAAAAAACCTTTCAACCTTTGGAAGTAAAGTCTGATGATCCGCAGTCCTTTAAAATGGCTGTGGTGAAACAATTTATTACATGGAACCTTAAAGTGGTCTGTTTTTATTTAAATTACACACACACACACACACACACATAAATATATATATATATATATTGGTCTAGCTCTTTCACCACAACTATATATATAGGAGTGTATGTGCGCCTCTACATGGATATATGTGTGTGAGGAAGTGTAAGTTTCTCTGACGGTGCAGGCGGTAGATCTGAAAAGCGTCAAGAACACCATTACCCGCTCCTTGCTGAAAAGAATATCGATACATGTAATAAAAGCTACGGTCCTGACACCAAAATAGAATTACAACTGGGTATATATGTATGCCCGAGCTCTTGGATGTGTATCTGCGCCTAGGCTCGGATTGTTTATATGGATGTGTTTGCGTGAACCCAAATGCGTACACCTGTATGTATGTATGTCTATGTGTATGAGAGTGTCACCCAAACAAAAACAGGAGCAAATTCCCTTTCCCGCCAATAAACACAGTCTAACAAGCATAAATAAATCCAGTTTTAAAAAATAAAACAGTTTGTCTGATGATCGCAAAAGCGTGAAACCCAAGATCACAATCTCATATCCATATAACTGAATATGTTAGGTCTATCACTGATATTGAACGATTTCCACGAAGCACTGCGCCTATAAAATAAATATATATATATATATATATATATATATATATATATATATATATATATATATATAATTAATACAAATACAAAGTATATATATATATTTAATATGTATATATATAATTAATACAAATACAAAATTTGTCACTAAGATGATTAGTGTTGATTTCAGTATATGTATATATTTTATATATATATATATATATATATATATATATATATATATATATATATATATATATATATATATATATATATATATATATATAATACGAATACAAATTTTGTCAATAAGATGATTGGTGTTGCTTTTAGCAACCTGATTCAAGTGTCTCATAAACAGAAACTTCAGCAACCAATCCGTCCACTCGTCAGTGGATATCATGTGTGTGCCCACGCATCATATACAGACAAACACATAGTTAGATACGTATCCGTTTCTGTACCGTGGCTGACATACTCACATATTCCCCAGACAAGAAAAAATCCAAATGCTGATTTTGAAGGCATTGATGAAACACAATCTTCCTTCTCTAGTTACATCTATAAGTACCTGTATATGATATCGCTAAGATTAAGTCGCGCTTGACTTGCGATCTAATATCAACAAAGGATGTCCATTGTGACAGATCGCGGATTATGGTGAACATACAATCACGAAACCCGGTCAAAGCTAAACTGGTCATCAATTGAGATAATGCAAAAGCGCTTCAAGACAATTGGTTACTTTATCACCGTTGAACTTCGAACTTCGCTAATCGAACTGATTGATAGCTTTCTGATCGTATGGCGTGCCGGCGCTGCTAATACCTATGCTTGCTTTCCTTCAAATGACAAACTTGTCACTTTTTCGTCGCTCACCATTGGTATCCAATGACGAAAATCGTTTTCTTGCATTACCTGGGTCTCCATCAGGCCTTCTCTTCCTACATATTACTCCATATATACATGTTTATTTGCCTATTTAGAGAGCTGTCAAAGTGGACCGTTAGTTGATATTTGGGGTCTGTTTAAGAGCAAAGACTTAAATGCATATCTTCAAGCAGATTTCAAAGGACATTGGTTATAAGACGGCCATCTTACTGTACATTGCATTAATATATATTATTGTGGTTATCATTTCGCCCCATGAAAGGCGATAATGCCACTAAGACGTTAGGAGTTATTGAGACTAAAATAGAATTTAGTGAGGAAAAATGAGGAAATGAACAGTGTTCAGGGAGACAAAAGATTGCGATTGACGTTGAATTTTTGAAGATTGTAGTTGACAGGGAAGCAAAGAAATTGAAAGGGGGTTCGATAAGTGAGAAGTGCGAGAAAGAGATTGTTATAGCTAGTTCGATTATAAAACAGTGAGACCTAATTGCTAATCTAGTAACAGCCTTCAGTGTATATATTCGAGGCATCAGGAGAGAAAAAAGGCTCATCAGAACAGTTGCCATGAAGATGCTTGTAGAAAAGACAGAGGGAAGCCACATCACGTCGTTGAGAAAGTGACTAAAGTCAGCATACCGGGTCAGGATCGATTACCTAACTGACTCTTCTTCGGATTTTGTTAAGAATCTCTTGATATGCAACAGGAGCAGCAGAACAGATATGGCATCAATATTCAATGCACAGACGAATGGCAGATTTATAAAGGTACAAGATGGATTTTAACGAGAAAATTCTTCTTGCAATGAACCGTCCTCCCCAGCAGTAGATATAGCAATTGATTCAACATAATCACTCTACTTCAGTCTGTGTAAAAATTAACATTAAAATATTTTAAACTAAATACATTAAAGTTTTATCTCAATGTCTTAATAGCCACAGTCTGTGGTTTTGTCTCTAGTTCCTCACATATTGTCTGAAGCCAGGTAATGAAAATATTCTAATCCGTAGACCGAGTTTGGAAAGAAAGTCCTGTCGCATTGTAACATGACCAATTTTTAGATACATTTTCAATACCTCAAAAACACCATAAATTTAAACGTTCTAATTATTATTTCTGTGCAGATTAATTAATAACTGATTGGATAAATGATGTATCGATCGTTTCCTTTTAAAAATTAGTTTGAATGAACCCAACACTATGTTGCATTTAAAATGGACTTTTTAGGAACGGAAGTGTCACTAAATATTTCTTATATGCTGAAAATAGTTTGGCTAAAGCCGAGAAAAGTCAGCCAAATAGCTGCGAAACTCATCGCCACTGAGTCCAGGCTCCTTGGTAAATCGGCTCTCGAAATGGCGCCGAAACGCCTTGCACATATCGTCAGTCGACCTCAGAGTACGCCCCTGCGGGGTTTTGACTTCACGAATGTAACGATCGGAACCTCGACGGATCTCTTCCTTGCACAATTGTGCGCCCATATTCACGGCTTCGTTAGACTTCTTGTTTAACCTATGTCTAACTACCTGAACCTGGTAGCGCTCGCTAGCCGCGCGCTCCACGGCCTGCTTAGCTAAACCTATCTCTAGGGAATACCCACCAGCCTCCGCTTTAAGTGTCTTCACCTTTTTAGCCTTATCTAGTGTGAGCCGCTGGCTATATTCGGTGGTAAAGGACCTAATCCTAACCTTAAGCCACCTATTCCCAATGACCGCCCCCACTAGTTCCCGCTACACTAGTCTATTTAGTTGTTGCTGGAAGTCCCGCCTGTCCAGTAAGGACAGATTGAACTTCCAGTGTTCAGCCATTCTAGGCCTAGAATCTAACGCTATCCGGACACAGACGAGTCTATGGTCCGTATAGCCTAACCAGTGGAATGTTGGACAATCTAGCAAGTCTACATCGGCTCTTCTGACTATCATTCTATCCAGGTAGCTGGCCACCTGGGTAGACGGCCACTTACGAGTCCACGTCCACATCTCCCGCTCGGGGTGATCGACTCGGAATCTATTGACGAGACCGCAATTGTCGATCAGATTTACTAGGCTACGATCTCCCGCTAGCTCCCCGCTCCCTGTCTATCCTGAGGACCAGGATGGCATTCCAGTCCCCCACTAAGACTAAGCGCGAAGAATCGGCCAGGAAAGGCCCCAACTGCCGAAAAAACGAGACACGCTCCACCTGATCGTTGGGCGTATGAACCGCAACGATCCGAAACGAACCACTGTTCACAGCAATATCAGCCACGGTCAACCGCCCCACCCCCGTATCGACGTGGACAAGGTCCACCCTCGCATCCAGGGTACGTTTAACCAACAAGGAAACACCTTTGGCCGGCTGGTCCAAGTATGCTGAATAAACAATATAGTCGCTAGACAGCACACGCGCATCAACCTCGCAAGCAAAGTGCGTCTCCTGAATCTCAGCTACATCTACACCGAACGACAAGAGATCACGAAGCAGGCGGGCCGCCTTACTCCGTTCCCTCAAGTCCAACGCATTCAAACAAGCTATCTTGAGAGACATTTTTCAAGTTGATTCCCCTACTCAGAGACTGGACGGAAATCTGCGGATGAAAGGACCCCGACGGATTGTCCAAGGCTCCCTCTACCCATCTCTGTCGTCATATGACCATTTCGGATAATACTGCCAACGTCCGAGGGGTACGTTAGTTTTAATGTCCTATATAATGAAGAATGGAGGATTACTGGGACCTTCCCTGCACAAAATTTCTGTAGTTTTCTCAGTTCCAGGGTTCCTATTTCCGCCATACGGATCTCCGTAAGGCATCCTTCGCCTCGTGAAGGTGATCCTACGCTATTAGATTCCGCCCTGTGCTTTTTATCCATGTTATTACGTCGGCGGCCTTGGGAAAATTTCGGGGATCATCTGTAGGAAGTCCGTCTACTGACGCCATCTTTAACAAGGGCTTCAACAACGCTCTTTTTTGTTTCGATATACCCGCTTCTATTGACTGCTTTTCCACACAGCAAGACATTACCCCACTCGGGAATTTCTTCTTACGGGAAGAAGAACTCTGCTGGGAGGTGCTGGGCTTTGGGGATTTGGAAAGTGAGGTGTTGGGAGGAGTAGACATATCATCGGCTGCAGTGTTATTAGGAGGGGCTGTTTGATGAGAAGGTGTATGGCGAATGGGGGGGGCAGTGGTGCTTTCAGAGGGGAAGAAGGAAGACTTCTTGTGGTACGTTCTTCAGGCGTCTTGATTGGCGAAGCTGGGGCTGATTGAGCCTTGGTTTTGACAGAGCCTTTGTTGGCTTCAGCTCGCATGTCTTTTTCCTTTATCTTTTTCCTCTTTTTCTTCTTCTTCTGTTTCCCCTCTCCCTCTTTTCAGTGAAGACGACCAAGGTGGGGGCTTCTCCTGCATTTTTAATTCCCTTTCTTGCTAGTCCTCTGGCTCTGGTTGGGGACCCTCATTTCCCTGCTGAAGGGAAGTGGTGGTACTTTTGGGTCCCTTCTTGACGACTTCCGTCCATTCTTCAGTTGTCTGGATTGTCTGTACTGTTGCCTGTGATGTTGCTGCTCCGTTTTTTTTTTGGGGGGGTAGGATTTTGTCCTGGGAAAGCCCTTGACAAAGGCCCCGCAGTCCCACAAGCCCAACAAAGTGGCCGATGACTCTCCACAACGACATGGATAAGTCTACCCACACACATTAACGTGTTGGGTATTTCCTTAAATAGCTTTTGATTTAATGTAATTGAGATTTCAATATCACCTGTGGCAATTCTGGTCTTACTTTTAATAGGGCAGACGTCGGAGACGTCCCCATATTTAGAAAAGAAAAACCCAATATGGTCTTCAGATATGTAGAGTGGTACCCTATGTAGAGTCACCTTTGCCTTTCTCGTTCCCATATATTCAGTCTGAAGCCTGACTGTCGAAGTAGCTAGAATACAGCCTGCCAATGATTTGGCTTTCTCTTCTGTCGGCAATAAGATGTCCCACATTGACTTACTTCTTCTGGCTAGAATTAAGGCTGCAATTTAAAGACTTTTCAGAGCCTTCTCCATCACTTCCCTAGTCACGATATTTAGTTTTCGGGTCTTGGAGTCCGTTGTTAATAACGAGATTGTCCTTGGATTCACCGTGTCCAATACAGAAGACACCGGTAATAATTCATTTCCATTAACATATGGACCAAAATTCTCTTTTAATTTTTTGAAATATTCTGACCTTTTTTGTGGCGGCTTATCCCGTGCCCATGACCCTGAGATAGATAGATAGATAGATAGATAGATAGATAGATAGATAGATAGATAGATAGATATGAACAGAATGATATAAACAAATATGAACAGACTGAGATAGATAGATAGATAGATAGATAGATAGATAGATAGATAGATAGATAGATAATGAACAGCCTTACAGATAGATAGATAGATAGATATGAACAGAATGATATAAACAAATATGAACAGACTGAGACAGATAGATACATAGATAGATAATGAATAGCCTTATAGATAGATAGATAGATAGATAGATAGATAGATAGATAATGAACAGCCTTATAGATAGATAGATAGATAGATAGATAGATAGATAGATAGATAGATAGATAGATAGATAGATAGATAGATAGATATGAACAGAATGATATAAACAAATATGAACAGACTGAGATAGATAGATAGATAGATAGATAGATAGATAGATAGATAGATAATGAACAGCCTTACAGATAGATAGATAGATAGATAGATAGATAGATAATGAACAGCCTTACAGATAGATAGATAGATAGATAGATAGATAGATAGATAGATAGATATGAACAGAATGATATATACAAATATGAACAGACTGAGATAGATAGATAGATAGATAGATTTTCACTGTATGACCTTGTGTGTTCGGTTCTAAGCACTGAACTGTTTGACCCTCATAAGTCGAAGACAACCGGCGAGTCCATTAATATATTTTATAGTTAACTGTAATTATGCCTCCATTAAACCAACGACGATTTGAAATATGACCCTAATATAAATACGACTTAAATCCTTAAATATTCCTACTTGTCAAATAAATGTCATATCAATTGAGTTATAAATCGTCACAAGACTTCACTAGGATAACAATTTACTTAAGAAATCATTTACACGCATCCCTATACAGTGTAGTACCAGAAATGTAAATTTGGGCCAAATTTCGGGAGAAGTATAACTTCGTATATATATATATATATATATATATATATATATATATATATATATATTATAAATTAATTGATTTAAAATATGGTTTTTTCCGCTACACAGTTCTAACCATGTTTCAAAAACGGAAGCTAAAAGCCCCGAATTTAATTTTGTAATTAAATTAAAGACATTAGTTCCTTTTCATCCTCAAGCGAATTTTGGAGTAACTTTTAAAATTACTGGGTTTTAAAGACATAGCTAAAATCATAATTCATGTTTCCAAGGTTACAGATGAATTCATTTTACTAGACGAGGGGTGTCTGCGTGTTCATTATGTCTATATTTTAATGTATCAGTTATTGCTACGTTTTGGTAGTGGGTAGGGATGTATTTTTCAATGAAATCTAACATCCGTTAAAAAGCGTGTCGTCTGGATTTTTTAAAATATTATTGTTAACGGAAAAGATTCTTACGGCATTTTTACTACTGTTCTCTCTTTATATATATATATATATATATATATATATATATATATATATATATATATATATATATAAAGGAGAGGTTATAGCTGTTCCAACGAGAGAAATGTGTATATTTTAAACAGAAGAATGATGCCGCAAATGGTTTTGGCTGTAATGTGGATTTTTTTTTTAAATATATATTATACGTTATTTTCCATATTTTTGCTACACGGGTTCACGATTTCGCGATTTCAATAGGCAAAGAGTGGTTATTTCCACATATTATTAAAAGGAATTAATTTCCTTCATGTTTTTCGATGTTCACACAATACAAAAAAAATGGAGATAGGACTAAGAAGATACTGGGGTCATAAAAAGACCTCCTTCCCTTTTTCCCTTTCACTGACCAATCCTAATTGTTTTATTAACTCTTAAACAAGAATATTTTCTCCACAAGTCCAAGAAAAAAATTGGATTATTACTACACACAAAAGACAATTTTTGAACCTCGGAAAACATGAAGAAAATTAATTCTTTTTGTCATATATATATATATATATATATATATATATGTGTGTGTGTGTGTGTGTGTGTGTGTTTTTTGTATGAATGATTCATGTAATTATAAATTGAACTGCACTTATAATCAAAAAATATATATATATATATATATATATATATATATATATATATTATTTTTTATATAAAAAATTATAACATAAGTATGTTATAAAATCACTACAAAAATAGCCATTTTGTTTCCAACACACTCTGTGTCTTATCAAGTGATGATGTTGAAAAGAAAATTTTATTTTCTTTTCAACATCATCACTTGATAAGACACAGAGTGTGTTGAAAACAAAATGGCTATTTTTGTAGTGATTTTATAACATACTTATGTTATAATTTTTTTATAAAAAATAATTATATCTGCTCTACTTTGTATTGAGCACTCTTTTAAGAATAGTAATTGTTGGTTATTGGAATTCATTCCGTATATACCAATTATATACTTTGATATATATATATATATATATATATTATGTCATTCGCAGTTAGTACTGTTTTGCTCCATTACAGCTCCTCAGTGCGACTAGACATCGAATGCCTCAAGCCTGGATCGAATTTGATGTCAATCAGAGCTTCTACCACTGAGCCATCTTCACTCGACCGAACGAATCAGCCAAATCTAGTGTATTGTTTTTACAAACGTAAACAAACGCCAAGGAGCCGAAGTGCATTTACGCAGTTGGCCGTTATTTTTAGAATTAGCTTGTCGTTCAAAAGTGCTCAATTGAAAATATATTTTCAAGAGCTAAATTATGTCATTCGCAGACAATACTGTTTCGCTGTATCACAGCTCCTCAGTGCGACTAGGCAACCGAATATATATATACTAGCAGTGGAGCCCGGCGTTGCCCGGAGATGTAACAGTAAGAGATAGATCAAGTATTGACCATCATAAAGACTGAAAAATAAAATTGACAAAGATTATTGTTTAAGGTTGACGGACACGCATGTCTTAATTAGTTTTTTTTTTTTTTTTTTTTTTTTTACGAATTGGTCAAACCCAAACTCAAACAAAAACATTGTTTTCGATCGTTATGAGTCTACCGATTAAATAGAATTTTATTATGAACAATTGTCTTGTAAATGGAATTTTTAAAGCATTCTGAATGTAAAAATAAAGAAAAAAGTGTGCAAGACAATAAGAAAAACTACATGCCCAAAAAAAGTGAAGTTTTGTTGAAATTGATTGAAAAATGTAGGAAATCCGATCCCATATATAAACGAACACACACACACACACAAACAACCTGGGTTTTATAATAAGTATAACTCGAGATGAGTTGTCCCCCTTTCATTCTGGTGATATTTTTATGCTTATACTTTCTTTTTTATAGATACAAATATTTAGGTAAATGCTCTGTTTATAATAAACAGTATTAACAACATTTACCGACCTGAATGTCCGAGAAATTTTCATAGAAAATATTCGTCCTCCGACAGGAAACGAACCTGTATCCTACACGTAGCCTGACGTGCTTTTACCGATTTGGCCACAGAGGAGCGTTTCGGTTAGCAAGGTCGATTTTACTGCTTTTAAACTACAATTTTCCATGATTTTCTCATGTACATTCATATCTGCTCGATGCGTATCCAAATGTAAACAAATGACGTCACACATTATGAAATGAACAAAATTCGACTATTATTTTAAGACATTTTATGTTTATACATTCTTTTTATAGATACAAATATTTAAGTAAATGCTCTGTTTATAATAAACAGTATTAACAACATTGAATGTCCTGTCGGCGGACGAGTATTTTCTATGACAATTTATCGGACATTCAGGCCTGTAAATGTTGTTAATACTATTTATTATAAACAAAGCATTTACTTAAATATTTGTATCTATAAAAAAGAATGTATAAACATAAAAATGTCTTTAAATAATTTTCGGACTTTGTCCATTACATATATATATATATATATATATATATATATATATATATATATATATGAATTATTCACACAAAACTAATGCAAAGGTTAATGATTTTAAATGATTTAAATTTTATATGAACAAGGATCAATTCATTCATAACGGATCTAAGGTTTTTGTGTAATATTTGAATTGTTTGCGAGATGGATGTCTCGCCATTTAAAATCATTAACCTTTGCATTAGTTTTGTGTGAATAATTCATGTATTTGTAAATTGATTGCACGTTTATTGTAATTTAAATAAGTGATCCATGTGCGACTTTTGGTTAATAAGTGCGACATTACTGTAATTATTGAACAATATAGTTCATGCCACTTTGACAGTAAAATTTACCAGTAAAATAATTTGTTCATTACCATATTTGGTATAAACGCAAACATTTTAAAAAAAGAAATTCAAAAATCAAACTCAGCGTTGATTTGGCGCGTTCAAAAACCAATATCTCATTTTCAATAGCATTTCGGATACAATACACATATATTTTCGATGTCCTCTTATTACTAAGAGAAAAAAACAAGAACAACATCTATTATATACCTGAAGATGTCTGTATGAACAGACGAAAGCTTGTAGTAAAAATAACAACTAATACGGCAGAAATTTATATGAACAAGGATCAATTCATTCATAACGGATCTAAGGTTTTTGTGTAATATTTGAATTGTTTGCGAGATGGATGTCTCGCCATTTAAATCATTAACCTTTGCATTAGTTTTGTGTGAATAATTCATGTATTTGTAAATTGATTGCACGTTTATTGTAATATATATATATATATATCCGATGCATTGAGAACGAAAGTAATATAAAATTCTAACATTCACAGCATTACTTCAAAAGAGGGCTCGATACTGATAGTAGAGCGATAATTATTTATTATCATTTTATCATAGAAAAAAAAACAGTTTTCTCACTACAAAGATACAACTTCGTTTCGGTGCATTTCATTGCATATATAAGCATAGACATTTGTAATATTATAAAGATGTGTACATTTCAAAATTAGTTATTCCAAAATTCGCTTGAGTATGAAACAGAACTACGTACTTTAATTTCATTTCTAAAATTGTATTGAAGTTTTTAGCTTCTGTTTGTTAAACCTGAGTAATTTTATGTAACGATGGAATCATATTTTTTTTAAATATATATATGTGTGTGTGTGTGTGTGTGTGTGTGTGTGTGTGTGTGTGTGTGTGTGTGTGTGTGTAAAATGATATATTATGTATAAATTAATCCGAAACTAAAATAATTTAAATACTAATTTTCATTAAGAAAATATGAAGGACGTCATTTACTCACTTTCATTTTATAGACATTGAATTATATCACTTAGTGTCCTCCATAACTTGCCTAGACTTTTCGACTAACCTGATAAATATTTAGGAGGCTTCTTAAATTTAAAAATTAAAAAAAAAAAACAATAATATTTCGCTCTTTTATTTTCTTTGCATTTTCCTTGAAAAGTTTCCCATCGGGCGAAACGCGTCGACTAAGATTAGTTTTCCTTTTGTCTTTATTCATATTGGCCTTTTACAGATATACTCTCTCTGAAAATTTATATACATTCATATATTTTATTAAAGACATTTTTATTTATGTTTAACGTTGTTATTTTTATAGATACAAGTATTTAAGCAAATGCTCTGTTTATGATAAACAGTATTAAATAACATTTACCGGCCTGAATGTCGAGAAATTTTCATAGAAAATATTCGTTCATAGACAGGTTCGAACCTGGAACCTATACGGAACGGCCATATGACGCTGGCAAGGGTTTATAACGCCAGCGTGATATCGGTTCCACCAGCGTATATGGCGGACCTTAGGTTGAATCCTGTATGAACGAATATTTTCTTGAAAATTAACAGGACATTCAGGCCGGTAAATGTTATTTAATACTGTTTATCATAAACAGAGCATTTGCTTAAATACTTGTATCTATAAAAATAACAACGTTAAAACATAAATAAAAATGTCTTTAATAAAATAAATTGTCGGACCTCGTCCATTTCTTAACACATTCATATATATATATATATATATGTGTGTGTGTGTGTGTGTGTGTTTGGTTTGTGTGTGTGTGTGTGTCGTACATATTATTACTATAACATTTCTCAAGATTAGAGATTTTACTATTATTGTAACAGGACTGTTTCCAGTGAGTACTTAATAGAAAAGCTTTGTGTGCCATCGACTGTCCAGTTGTCCGGCTTTGGCTTAAGCCATTTGATGAACAGAAATTCTCTCTCTCCAAGAACAGACAGTGCACTCACACTAGTAAGAATATCGGATAATTACAAAGGTGCGCCATCATTATCCTCCTCTAGAATATTATTAAAGATGGACAAGGCCGTTCGACTACCCCTCCACTACCACCACCAACAACCACCCACCCACCCGTTATACAGACGCCCGATGTAAGTATTTAATTTACTTATGGGACCACGATCAAAATCAAACGATGGTGGCTCAGTTGAATTTGTTACTAGTATGCAGTTTGCTTTGGTCTGATTAAGGATTGGCATCGGAAGTGTGTCGGACATTTTCTTGACAATTGTATGAGATTGCGTAAAGTGGTCGATCAGAGAGGGTCTGTCATTTGAAATATGCAATGTGTGAAGTATATGTGAACAGACGCTAATTGAATAGGATAGATAGATAAGTGTGTGTATATATATATATATATATATATATATATATATATGTATGTATATGTATAGATAGATAGACTGAGATAGATAGATAGATAGATAGATAGATAGATAGAGATAGATAGATATGATATGTATATGTATGTATGTATATATATAGATATATAGATGGATAATGTATATATATATAGAGAGAGAGAGATAGATAAATGTGTGTGTATATATATATGTATAGATAGATAGATAGATAGACAGATATGTATATGTATATATATATAGCTAGATAGATAGATATATAGATATATAATGTGTATAGATAGATAGATAGATAGATAGATAGATAGATAGGAATAGACTGAGATTTTAACAAAATGAGATAGATAGATTTGAACTGAGATAGATGATAAACATATATATATATATATATACAGAGAGAGGGGGAAGAGAAGAGGGAGATTTTGAACAAACTGCGAGAAAGAAAGAAAGAAAGAAAGAAAGAAAGAAAGAAAGAAAGAAAGAGAGACAGAGAAGAGGAGAGAGCGATTTTGAACAAACTGAAAGAAAGAAAGAAAGAAAGAAAGAAAGAAAGAAAGAAAGAAAGAAAGAAAGAGAGGGGGAGGGCGATTTTGAACAAACTGGGATAGATACATACCGTACCCTAATTAATTAATGATCTTCATTTATCTGTTTTTTTTCCTAACATTACCTGAATATGTCTTCTCCCCTAGCTAAGGGTTAAATAGCAAAGCTCACTTGTTTCGAATGAATTGAAATTGCAATCATTTTTTTATTCTTCTATCTGCCGTTTCCCTTCAGGACGTTGGTGATCATGACTCTCCACAATTTCCTGTCATTTGTAGCTCTTAGCAACCTTTTTTTTTCTTTTTACTATCTCGCCTAAACCATGTTCTGCCATCCGTTTACACAAGCACATTCGAATCCAGAAGGACAACTGTAAAGTCAGAAACCAGTTTGAAGGTAGCACCACTGGTATGGCTGCATCGTGTGGAGATGAGTCTCTTGCTGTGATGTCACCAATGCATAGACTTTTAAAATATGAATCACAATTATTTCATAAAAGATTATTTCAGCAACATCAAAAAAAAACTAGTATCTATAAATTGACTTTTAAGAATGTGGCTAAATCTTTTGTAAGAAAAACAATCTACAGCTTGGGTCATTCAAATCCGGCCGACAGAGTTCCAAAAGTCTTCCTCGTTGACCATAACCGTGTGTCTGCGAAATTCAAAGCCGAAATCCAAGTAGACATCAAATTCACTGACAGATTATTCGTAAACCTAATCCGTGTGGATTAAGAGTAATTCTATCTCCAGATAACACAGGGTTTACGAAAGTTCCAGGGATTTTTAGAAACCTGATAGACGAAAGAAAAATAGGTTTTTGTTAACTCTGTGATAACTGTGTGAAATGCGAATCGTAATAATTCGGTGGGGACGAGCTTTACTGGGATAAGCCAACATAATCTCCTCTCTCTCTCTCTCTCTCTCTCTATATATATATATATATATATATATATATATATATATAATTCTATCTTTCTCTCGTTGCTTCACTCACTTCTATTCGATTATAACCCTACCACTCTTTCCTTTCTTTCTTTGTTTTTGTTTCTTTCTTTCTTTCTTTCTTTCTTTCTTTCTTTCTTTCTTTCTTTCTTTCTTAGCTCTCTTCGGCCTGTTCACCTTTCTTTCTTTCTTTCTTTCTTTCTTTTTTTCTCTCAATTCATTCTTTGCTTGTTTCTTTCCGTCTTGTTTTTATTTTTTTTATGTCTTCTTCTCTATTTATTCTTTCATTTTGCTGATTAATTCTGTTTTTTCTTTCCCACAGTTTATTATTTTTTTCTTTTTATCATGCATTATATTCTTTCTTTCTATTCATCTTTTCTTTCTTTCCTTTCTTTCTTTCTTTCTTTTTTTCTTTCTTACTTTTCTTTCTTTCCCTCGTTCATTCTTCCGTTTTTTTTCATCTTTTTTTCTTTCTGTCACCCACTCGTTCGTTTGTTCGTTCCTTCGTTCTTTCTTTCTTTTTCTTTTTTCTTTCCTTTACTCGCTCGTTTGTTATTTTTTATTCTTTGTTTCTTTCCTTCACTCATTCGTTCGTTCATTCTGTTTATTTCTTACTTTCCTTCCTTCCTTTACTCTTTCGTTCTTTCTTTCCCTCACTAACTCGTTCATTCATTCTTTCTTTCTATCTTTTTCTTCCCTTCACTCGTTCTTTCTTTCTTTCTTTCTTTCTTTCACTTTACTTAATTGTTGGTTTAGATAATCCGTATTTATTTATCAGTATAGACTCATTCCTTTTCAATGCACATAATTCAACACTCTCCGGATGTGGGCTGAAAAGCCGTCTCATCCATCAGAGGGGAGAAATAGAATAAATAGAAAGAATGAACGTCCCGATGCTCAGATGCGAGCGGATCCCGACTACGACAACGACTACAACTACTCCCCTAGCGCATGATACACCCTGGATTGTCCATAACACATGATAATAAGAATGAAAATTCTTAATCTCGAAATTTTTCTTCTATTTATGAGGCTGGATAAAAAAGTGTATTATTAACCTCCCTCCCACAAACGATGCATTTACAATACACTTACTTTCCTTCTTCTTCTTCTTCTTCTTCTTCTTCTTCTTCTTCTTCTTCTTCTTCACATTCTTCTCCTCCCTTTCCATTACACCCTACGTCGTGTGTTTGTTTATTTATTTTTGCAAACAATAATTTAACGTTCTTTAGTTAAAAAAATAAGAAGAAAAAATTAGTCATTTGATAAAAATCACCTGAGGTTACCACAAAGTTGAAACCAAGATAAGTGGATTCAACTGACCGCCTGATTTTTAGAGTTAAAACATATTTTTACACGTGTATTTTTACACGTGTATTGAGTACTTTTAATACTACTGTTTCCTGGTCTGATTCAGCTCTGACCATTAATCTACATATATATATATATATATATATATATATATATATATATATATATAAAATATATATATAATAATAAAATGCTTAAACATTAATATTGCATGGTCATAATTTATTCCATTGGAATCGTAAATACGATCCAATTCATCAGACCTAAAAATTCAAAAAAAAAAACATGTCTAATACATTAAAGATACATTTCGTGGTGACATACACACAGCATAGACGATCTAATCTTAAAGATCAGAAGAAGAGGGAGGTAGAGGAAAAGAAAAAGGGGTGGGGGAGAAAGATGGGGCGGGGGAAACTAAAATTGAAGGACATTTACTGAAAGGGCCGCTGTGTAATTAAGAAAATTTGACAAAATTAATATCGACTACAAGTTACAAATAAAATATAAACATATAAAAAATAATCTCCCCTACCCCTTTTTCTTCTTTTTTTCTTTTGTTTTCGTCTCCCTCCCGCTTCTTCTGATCTTTAAGATTAGATCGTCTATTGTGTGTGTATGTCACTATAAACTGTATCCTTTCTTTTACATCTTTAATGTATTAGACACCCGACAACATTCATATTTCTCTCACTTAAACCGTCTTCAACTAACCTCTCTAAAACTTCTCTCTGTTAAGGTTTAATCTCCCACCTTCTCTCGTCTGTTACCCCTCTCTTTAGCTCTAACATTCGTCCCACACTCTCAAACTTACACTCTCTCTAAATTTTATTTTTATTTCCGGAGTTGTTTTTTTTCTGTTTTCTTTTTGAATTTGCCGGTCTGATGAATTGAATCGTATTTACGATTCCAATGGAATAAATTATGACCATGGAATATTAGTGTTTAAGCCTTTTTATTATATCCTTACTCTGTCCTGGACATTGAGTTCTACCTGGATTCTATCCTCCTGGAATTTTTTTATTCAAAATATATATATATATGTATGTGTATGCATGTATGTATATATATTTATATATTTTGCATATGTATGTGTATATTTACCACTAATATTATATATATATATATATATATATATATATATATATATATATATATATATATATATATATATATATTTACTTCCGGTAAAATAACCGCCAAAATAGACTACTCACAATGAACCACTGACCCGTATATATAGATAGCCGAGAAAAATAACAGCACTCGTGGCCTGACGATTGCGTCTATCATGAAATAGACTGTCGCCTCTAAATGTCGACTTCTATGTTCACTTTTATATATATAAATATATATATATATATATATATATATATATATATATATATATATATATATATATATATATATATTTGATTGATTGAGCTCTCCGGATATCATCCTCCTTGGGTCTACCCATACGGATTACCTAGTTTTGCATAAACTATATATATATATATATATATATGTATGTATATATATTAGTTCTCTTTTGCATGCAATTACCCCCTTGTTTATTTTGAACATCTTATTCAAAGGTTATTGTACATTACGATTTTCAATCCAAAGTTACATTGCAGAAAATACTTCTTTTTCTTTTCCTATTCTTCTACTCCATAAAACAACTTTGGTTTGATCTTTTTCACGTCTTTTATCCACCACCGGAAGTGATACCTTCTCCATTTTCTTTCTGTCATCCATTGTAACACATGTCTTCGAACTCGGGCCATTTTCGTGTGCTCCTCCTCCTCCTCTTCATCTCTGAACTTAACTCATACAACTTTGTCAAGTCTTAAGCCAAGATTAAACGCAATGATCAGACTAGCGGCGTCGACAAAAGAACTCTTTCAAAAACTCAGCGGGAGTATTTTCTTACATCTTGGTCTCAATCACCAAACACGGTTTATTTCTTTCTTATATGCTTGGCGCTGTAATTAGACGCGGAGTTGGAGGGGGTGCACAGATGCATTTGCCAAGGTTTAACAATAGGCAACAAAAAGAATTGATGATAGATGAGAATATATCGGTAAAGGCGAATCAATTGACCTGAAAAAAAAAAGAATTTATTATATAATATTTAGGGAAAAAAAATCTGTTAAATTTGTTAAAAAGTATTTTTATTACAATAAACAAATAAATAATCTAAATCAATATATTAAACGACAGTAGATCAATAAATCTATAGCTTCACGTATACTTATTACCAGAATGGTGATCGGAAATTTTCACTATTTACTGTTCGAAAACTGTGAATAAGATTTATCACTGAATTAAAGGCATTGACAAGAAAAGAATGTCCAGCAATAACTATTTACAATAAATGTCATTTTTATTAATATGCTACAAGACGTTTCCACATACACACACACAATCACACATATATATGTGTCGAATTCGACGTATGAGGGTCAAGCAGATCAGTTCCCAAGAAACCGACAGCCAGACACCAGCACATAGTGATGTAATTATAGTGGTGAAGGTTTCGTGCAGGACCATCCACACTTTTTGAAGGGCCGAATACAGAGACCTGGTGCACTACGTGCTACAAGGTTCCCAAACGACTCTCCGCAGGTTTTGAATTCAGAGTTGTCCTTCTCCTAGACCAGTTGCCATCCAAGGCTATAGAACCCAGACTGTCCTGCTATTCACCTATAGATGGAAGGAGAAGAGGATTCACCCCTATATATATATATATATATATATATATATATATTCAGGAATCTGACGATTGAATGTTTTGTGGGACACCAGGAACCTCTTTTAGCCACTGTCAAACGGGGGAAAATGGTGTGGTTTAAACACATTACAAGGCAGGACAGCCTGCGCAAGACGATCATGCAAGGACCGTTGACGATGGACATAGGAGGTGACGCCAACGTAAAAAAAAAAGGTTGGACAATATGAAACAATGGACAGGTATGACTATACCAGGATTGCTGAAAGCTGCTGTTGATAAGCCGTTGTGGGAAAGAGTTAGTGTGGCTTCTGCATTCGGATCCGTCCTACGATTATAGCAGTTCGGACGGGTCGCCCAGCAACCACCTTCATTGACCAGCTATGTTATGAAACAGAATGTCTCCTTAATGACCTACCGACCTTGACTACGATTAAGTCATGTGGATGATGATGATGGTGATGATGGTGGTGATAATGATGATCGTGGTGGTGATGGTGATGATGGTGATGGTGGTGATGATGGTGATGGTGATGATGATGATGATGGTGGTGATGATGGTGATGATGATGTTGGTGATGATGGTGATGATGATGGTGATGATGATGGTGATGACGATGGTGATGATGGTGATGGTGATGATGATGGTGATGGTGATGATGGTGATAATGATGATGATGGTGATGGTGATGATGATGATGATGGTGCTGATGATGATGGTGATGATGGTGATGATGAATGTGATGATGATGATGATGGTGATTATGATGATGATGGTGATGGTGATGATGATGATGAATGTGATGATGGTGATGATGGCCATGATGGTGATGGTGGTGATGATGATGACGATGATTCAATCGCTTCGTCTCCTTTCCTACTTGGCTTACAGCCACAACACGATGAATCACAGCTTCACATACGATCACCGAAGTTAAGCAATGTCGAGCCTAGTCAGTACCCAGATGAGTGACCGTTTGGGAATATTAGGGGTTGTAAGCTTGATTGTGCAGGTAAAGTAACTAATAATGGCACGTAATTTTTGAAAGGAGAGCTGAATTCATATTTCAGTTGGTTTCAATATATTCACTTACGTGCAAATACCCTTAGGAAAGGTATAACCCCCCTTCTTCTCCCTCCAGCTATTGGTTAATTAGTAATACTTGTATCAATAAACCATTATTATCTTTAAAAGAAAATTCTTACAATCTAAAAATATTTTCTGGCTTTAAATAACCTGCAAGGGATTGCTAATCCTTAAAAAACAGATAAATCATATGAAATCATTACCCCTTTTTTTTTTGTCTTCTTCAATAATATTTCTCTTTTTTATCTATTTCTACCTTTCACTTCTCTCATCTGTTCTCAATATCTACGTCTGTTTTCTCTCACACTCGCCTTGGCCTTCTTGTGCAATCTTACCGCGTTGACCCCAGATCAGTAACGATAATTCGGAGAGGCGAAGATGTAAACACAAAAATTCTTACTTCAAAGGCGCCATAAAGCCAGACAATAACTCTATTCGGCCAATGACACAGTAATCCAGACGGTTTGAAAATAAACATCGTTTCATTCAACGAGTGGGGAACAAGTGTTTACAAAAATGGATCAATGTCTGTTTGAATTGGGTGCATTTCCGTGTGTCTGAGAGCGAAAGATATTAAAAGAGACGAACCATATACCTACGGAGTTTCACAATATTTAGACGTAGAAATAGAATATCCTCAGTAAATCCACTAATACAGACTGAATATTTACTATATAAGATATTTTATGGGAAGACGATATATAATTTTTTATATATCAAGAACAATGGTAAAGTGGAAAAAGTTTTCGTATACACTACTTACATTCAATGGATGCCAGTTATCAGTTATCTGCTGTTAATTCCCCTCTCCAAGTTCTCCACTACCTTAACCAGGTATTGAACTCATACTCTTTTGGTCCATGTCACTGGATCTAACCAACGCCTTTATCCACTGTGCCAGGACCCAAAGAGTGTGAGTTCAATACCTGGTTAAGGCAGTGGAGAACTTGGAGAGGGGAATTAACAGGAGATAACTGATAACTGACATCCATTAAACATGGCACGTGGAACTAGAACAGTCTACCCCAGTAAGTGAAATAAAGGGTTCAGTTCGACATTCCAACCACCTGAAGTAGGCCGAAGCGTACAACGGCCGAAACGTTGTAATAAATATGGCGACAAACATGAGGACAATAGTTAGAATAATGTAAATAGTGTACATAATACCTCATCTCAGAAATATAGACAGATATTGAAGTTTTCGTGTGTTTCGTTTCGTCCTTTAGGTCTCCATTTGATTATAGTGATGTTCACGATTTTACAGGCACACGAAGGAAATAATAATTGCCACAAGGAATTTAAATGAAAGATTATATGAACACAAAAGGGATATTTTACAAAACAACACATTAAATGCATTACCTTCTCACTGTAATTAGTCTGCCCGTAATTTCGATTTAGTAAATGCTATTTTAATTAAAAGAGAATGAAATTTACTAAGACGAAAGCTTATAGAATGTGCTTTAATCAACTGATCATCCAGACTAAATTTACATCCAGGTTCTTACAACATTTCATCTTTCTCAACAGATCTATTCTTATAATGTGGGATAATTAATAACAAAAGTGATGGAAACATGAAGAAAAAATAAAAGAAACTAAATCAAATTGTTTAGGCTATGGTTATTTTCTAAACCTAACAAGGCCAAATGTTTGGGGACATCCACTGAGAATCGAACCCCCTATTCAGTTATAATTGATCGAGCTAGACAAGCTTGCTAACCATTACTGTCATGGGGTCCACGCCTTTTTCATACAAGTGGACTCGACCAGTGTGCACTTGGACTGCTGCCGTTAAATACCCAGAGTCAGTCAGAGTAGAGAGAGATTGAGATTGTGATTGAGTTGGAGGTAGAGTAATAGTGTGAGGTAACCGCTTGTAGAAGTCACAGTTACAAGTACGTAGACTCTAAGGAAGTCCTACTTCAAGACTGAATTTACCAGACTGTATATATATATATATATATATATATATATATATATATATTATTATTATTATTATTATTATTATTGCTACTAACCGCGTTTCTGGATCTACTAACAGTATTACCAATTGTATTATTGTGTAAATACATTTATTTGTTATATTTCATTCCTGCGTTTGTCATTCATTGGAGACTTAATTTAATCTCGGAATCCACAACAATTACACGCCGAAGTGTTCCAGTGTTTTTCTAAGCGTAGCTTAGATTTGGCACAAGGCCGAATGTATGGGGCACCTAGTGAGACTCGAACTCACTATTGAGTCATAATTTACCTAGCGAGATATGCTTGCTAATCGTTACACCACATCGAGGTGCCTAAAATGATTTTCTAAGCTTATCTTGCACGTGGTACATGGCCGAAAGTGTGAGGCACCTAGTGAGGATCAAAATTACTATTAATTAGTAACTGATCAAGCGAGACAAACTTGCTAACCATTACACTACGACAAAGTGCCACAAAATGATTTTCAAAACGTAACTTAGATGTAGTACAAGGCCGAAAGTATGGGGCACCCCGTGAGGATCGAACTCATTCCTGAAGCATCACAGATCAAGCCAGAGAAGATTGCTAACCATTGCAGCACGTTGAGGCGCTCAATCGGCGAGGCTATGTACCCATAACATATATTTTAAAATAAAAGAAAAAGATTTTAAAATAATTAAATTTCACCTTCGTGCGTGTGTGCAGTCACATCAAATTAAAGATCACTTTCGGCCAGTGAAGTCTTAAACGCGAAAATGTTTTCCTCTCTGTCATAATTTTCTCTAAAAATATTTTATGAGATAATATTGAATTATACATCTACTGATTACATTATTTACATTATTCGGACTATTGTCCTCATCTTTGTCGCCATATTTATTACAACGTTTCGGCCGTTATACGCCCCGGCCTTCTTCAGGTGGATGGAATGTCGAACTGAACCCTTTATTTCGCTCACTGGGGTAGACTGTTCTAGTTCCACGTGCCATGTTTGATGGATGTCAGTTATCAGTTATCTCCTGTTAATTTCCCCTCTCCAAGTTCTCCACTGCCTTAACCAGGTATTGAACTCACACTCTTTGAGTCCTGTCACTGGATCTAACCAACGCCTTTATCCACTGTGCTATGTGTCATTGAGGACACATGGCACAGTGGATAAATATGGCGACAAAGATGAGGACTGTTTCACTTATTATTCATCATGTGGTCGAGTTAATCCAACATCACCCAGAAAATGCTGCCAATGATATTCGACTCTATATCAATGCCTCTAAAACTGATTTCATAGACTTAAAAGCTCAATACAAACTCAGGTGAATCAATAAAATCTATTGAATCTTTTATATACCATATATGGTGGCGTAAGATCAGGATTGTCATATATTGAGTATGCTGATGACCTATCTGTCACTGGAGACACTGTCATTACCAATGTCACAGTTTGCCTACATCATCTAGAAAATGCTGCCAATGATATTCGACTCTATGTCAGTTCCTCTAAAACTGAATTCATAGGCTTCAACCAACAAGACTCAATACAAACCATTTCAGAAGAATCAATATAACCTGACAAATATTTTACGCACATAAGAAGTGAGATGAATTCTACTAAAAAGATGTGAAAATTTGCATAGCTAAAGCCTGGGCCACCTTCAACAAAATGATTATAATCTGGAAATCTGATCTATCAGAAAACCTCAAATGGAGATTCTTTTGAGCCACTGTAGAGTCAGTGTTAATTTATGATGTCACTGCCTGGACATTAACTAAAACCCTAGAGTCTAAGCTTGAAGTTGAAAGCTATACTTAACATTGGGAGATAACATTCATCTAAATCACTAGTCTATAGACACATCTCTGATATTTCTACAATCTTACACAAATACAGAATACATTTTTGCAGGACACTGCTGGCAAGCAAAACAAGAACTCGGGAGTGATCTACTGCTCTGGACATCTAACCATGGAGCAAGACGGGCTGGTCACCCAGCAACCACCTCCATTGACCAGCTATGTTATAAATAAGAATGCCTCCTTTATGACCTACTGACCTTTATACAGGACCGTGACGGTTGGTGTGATGGACTTATGAATGTCTGAGATAATTTAATAATAAAAATAAAGTATTAGACATCATGTACAACACTTAACTGCGTAAATACAAATAAGAGATTTATTTGCAGAATGACATGCAAGTATTTTCAATCTTTCCTTTTTGCCGACTGACAGAAAATAAAAATGAAGACGTGTAATAAATAAAGGAATATACAACAATGTAACATACATTTATTAAATGATAAGCAATTCCAAGCCATTATCCATTACTCCAACTGCATATACAAGCTTACAGAATTTGGTATTCTCAAGCAGTTACTCATCTCAGTATTGACCAGGCTCAACATTGCTTAACTTCAGTGATTATATAAGAACCAGGGGTCATGACTCAACAGCCCCACCAGTGAGGAAAATAATTTAGAAGGTTTTATTTCAGGGTAAGTGTTGTGGTGTGCTCCCTCTAATGAGGCTATTGTGGACTCTTCCACTTACTATAAAGTAGTAGGAACGTAAACCTGCGGGTGGGGAGGGGGAACAGTGATATAAACTGAACGCTAGTCAACTGACACACACTCCTGCAACACACTTCTGTTGTATTTACTGTTCAATACACTATTTATCTGCAACCTCTTGTTTTGTTATTTTAAAACCATTAACTTAGTCACAACAATAAGCAAAAGTTATTAAGAGTTATAAAAAGCGATTAAACTCAAACTCTATACAACAATAATAATTCCCTTAAAGAATTGTGTTGGATACGTAACTTATTGAAAAGATGCAGTATTACACATAATGTACAGCACTTAACTGTGTAAATACAAATAAGAGATTTATTTGCAGAATAACATGCAAGTATTTTCAAACTTTCCTTTTTGCCGACTGACAGAAAATAAAAATGAAGACATGGAATAAATAAAGGAATATACAACAATGTAACATACCATCAAACTTTATACTTTCATGAACAACAATTATAATTCACTAAAAGATTTGTTGGATTTTTTTTATAAGCATTTCACCCCAAGCAAGGCTGGAAGCAATTAGCACGCAAGGGGTTACATAGGATTTGAAGCGAGAGCAGATAGGAGTGATAGAGGAAAGGATGAGGAGAAGGATAGTGGGTAGATCAAGGCAACTGGAGATGTTTATTGACATTACATTTGAATAGTTGGAGATTATAGCTCTCAGGGAAACTGGAAAAGGAAGGGAGTTCCACAGGCGAGAGGTGTGAGATATGAAGCTATTGGAGTAGAAGAGACGGCTACATTTAACAGTTTCAACTGTGAAAGGGTGAGAGCGGGATGCCAGCCTCGTAGGACGTTTGAATTCATGAAGTCTGGGAACCAGAGAAAGCAGCTCCTCGGAGCAATTACCATGAAAGTATTTGTAGAAAAGACACAGAGAGGCGACGGCGCGTCTGTGAGTGAGCGACTGCAGACGAGATGCCAGATCAGGGCCAATTATATTGCATATCCGCCTCTGGATCTTATCAAGAACCCCGAGGCAAACAGAAGGGGCTCCAGACCATATATGGCAGCAATACTCCATGCAAGGGCGAATTGTTGATGTGTAGATCTGGAGGATCGATTCCGGGGAGAAAAATTTCCTGGCGCGGCACAGGTAGCCAACTTTCCTTGCGGTGGACGAAGCAATTGACTCAATATATTTATTCCATCTCAGGTCAGCCGTCAACGTGAGACCGAGCAGCCGCAAAGAGGTGCTCTCGAGAAGTTGAGCGTCAGACATTCTAATGGGGAGGGGGCAGGGAAGGATCTCTGTGGTGTTTAATAGAGAGCAGTTTTGTTTTTGAGGCGTTAACAAGCCAATTCCTGTCCCAGTGCAAAACCGATTGGAGGTCCTTTTCGAGACGAACGACTAAGATACGTCAATCATTACAAAGATGCAGACCCCATTACCAATACCTCAGTACTCTTACATTATTTAGAAAATGCTGCTAATGATGTTCGACTCTACGCTAATATCTCTAAAACTAGATTCATAAGCTTCAACCAATAAGGCTCAATACAAAACGTGAGTCAATAAAACCTGTCGAATTTTTTACATACCGTATATGCTGGTGTACAAGTAGATTGGACATATAACTCAAACTCCAAATTTTCATGTTAAAATCTAAGTTTCGTGCTATACAAGACGACCCCACAAACTATTTTAAAATGTATTGCACTGAATTTATTTAATAAATTCAGTAAGCATATACTGTCGTTTCACTCAAATTCTAATTCCAATGCTATCAGTTGTTTACAGTGTGCGACGTTGGTTTGGCGTTCTTTTTTGACGAATTTTGTTATTGTCATGCAATCACAGCACATACTATATATGATAAGAGTACTTTTATTACACTACTTTTTATTATTTTATTATAATGTGAATTAAATTGTTTCAGTAAAAATTATTTGTGTCGATAGTTACCAAGGCAGGGATTAGTCTATCGTCAATCATTTCCTCTGCTAGTAACTCACCATAAACCACAGGGTTTAAGGTTTACATTTTATACCTAGACTATAAGATGGCACTGTATTTTGGTGGGGATTTTTCAGCTTAAAAAATCGCCGTGTATGCCGACATATAGGGTACCTAAGCAGCGAGATAAATTCTACCAAAAAGGATGTGAACATTCGCATAGCTAAAGCCTCCTTGAATAAAATGGATGTAACCTGGAATTCTAATCTGCCAGACAACCACAAGCGGAGCTTCTTTCCAGCCACTGTAGAGGCGATGTTTATGTATAGCGTCACTGTTTGGACATTAACTAAAACTCTAGAGTGTAAGCTTGATTTTAGTGTCACTCGGATGCTGAGATCTATACTTAAAATCTCTTGGAGAAAACATCCAAATAAATCAGAGCTCTATGGAACCATCCCTGATATTTCTTCAATTTCTGGCGAGTAAAACAAGAACCCGTAAGTGATCTACTGCTCTGGATGCCTAGCCATAGAGCAAGATAAGCTGGTCGCCTAGCAACCACCTACATTGACCAGTTATGTTACGATACAGGATGCCACCCCTTTCTGACGTTAGTTTTATTATTACTACTTATGTGTTATGCTTCCTGTTTTGTATCCTGTAGTTCCGGGTTCAAATTATGGTCCTTAGAATTGTCATTTAATTGATAGCATTTAGTATATGGGATGTTCTTAGTAGGGCTATCTTCTGGGCAACTTGTATGTTGATGTTACCTGGGACATTTTCTCACGAGGCCCGGAGCTCCAACTAATATTGATACAGCCTTACTCTTCATTTCCCACATCCTGTTAATCTCGATCTCCAGGTCCTTGTATTTAGACAATTTCTCGATAATTTTCATGGAGGTATTTCTCTCAGATGGTACTGCTATGTCAATAAGCATACACTCCCTGAATTTCTTGTCTTTTATGATAATATCAGGTCAGTTGGCATTTATTTCCCCTGTCAGTTTGAATTGGCATGTCCCAGAGGATAGTTACATCGTTATTATGGGTAACTATCTGGTTGGTGCTCATAATGGTTTTAATTTTCTGCTTCTTGCATATCTTCCTGTGTACATATGTTATTACATTATTATTATTATTGTTATTATTATTATTTATGTGTCGTGTCTCTTCGTGACGTAGGCGAACAGGGCTCTCCACAATTTCCTGTTCTTCATAGCTCCTAATAAATTGTCTTTTTACTATTTCTCCTAAACCCTGTTACGTTATCCATTTACTCAAGCTCCCTAAGTTTGTTATGCATTGTTTTCATCTGTTCATCTTACCTTCAATCTGTCCTGTGAGTATTAGATTTTCCAAGCCTTCTTTCCCCATTATGTACCCTTGTAATTTCAACTCTTTCTTCCTGATGTTAAGTAAAAGACTCTTTTTTATTTCCATTTTTATCAAAACCATGTCGTTGCTCACATGTTCGGTCCATGGCATCTTCAGCATCCTTCTGTAGAACGACATTTCTCTTGCTTCAAATGTCTTCTTCATCTTTTAGAAGATTGTACAGAATTCACTGCCATTTAGGAAGACATATATTACGTAACAGTTCAGTACTATTTTCTTTGTTTCCGTCACTTCAAGTGCTTTCTACATCTTTGAGGAGTTTGTCCAGTATTCCCTGCCATATATGGTGACAGATATCACGTAACAGTTCAGTAATTTATTCTTTGTTTCTAACGAAGTTTTTCTGTCTCTTAATATACTGCTTAGCTTTTGGAAGGCATCTTTAGCTATCCCAATGCATCTTCGGATTTCAGTATCACACTTTTCGCCTTCTGTTAAAACCCTTCCTAGATATTTAAAGTTTTATACTTGTTTATTTTGGTATCTCGAATTTGTAATTTGCCTTTTGGGCTCATCTTTTTTCTGACAACCATGCATTATGTTTTCTTGCCGTTGGTGTTTAGTCCTTTCTTCTGGCTTTCCTTCAATAACTTCTGTAAGAATTTTTATAGTTTTCTTTCCGTGTCTGCTAACAACACTGTGTCATCTGCATATCTTATATTGTTATGATTGTGGCCACCAGTAATGAATCCTGGTAGGACTTCTAATTCTTTCAAATTCAATTCAAGTTGATTAATTCCTGTGATTGGCGAAAAAATAAATAAATATTATCGGACTTATATGCATTCCCCATATGTGCAGTATTTTTCCGTTATTTGAAGATATTATTTTTTTTAATAAATTATATTATAAAACATTCCTGTTGTGATATTGTCTAACGAGTGATTTAGTAATGTTAGTAGAAAATAATAATCGTTCACCAATATTCTCTCACCAATAATATTGATCACAAAACTAGTACCAGATACACAATTTCCTTCAATAATATTTGTATTCCTTGAGTCAGATTTTTAAAAAGAAAAAAACGAAAGAAACTAATTACTTAGGCAAATACAGCTGTCAACTGACGCTTATGGTGCTCTGTCGGTATAGGAAAAAAAGTTCTGCCATTTTAGCGTCTCAGATGATTGGCAGGAGGACAGTCGGAAAGAACCAATGAGAAAGAGAGGCGTGGAGCGGTGATTGCGCACGAACCACAGCGTTTCTTGTCAAACGGCGACTGATATGTCTAAGCAGACGACCGCAACTCCGATGGCAAGAATAGAGTTATTTATTGATGACATTGTTAGGGGGGTGGGAGAGAGAGAGAGAAACAGATTAGAAAGTGAAGAAAAAAAAAAGATGAGCAAAAAGACAGTATAGAGAGTGGGAGGTAAAGTGTGGAGAATTAGAAATGAACTGTGGTAGGAGAGAAAGTAGTGAGAGGAAAAGGAAAATGCAGAGGAGAAAAAACTAGGGAACTTAATAGGAACGAAAAGAGGGGAAGTGTAGCGAGGGAAAAGGAAATGAAAAGGGGAAAGAATTGAGAGGAGTGGGAGGAGGGGAGAAATGTAAAGAACATGGAATGAAGGGGGGAGAAATATGGGAGATAAAGAGAGAAAAAGATAAGCATAGAGAGAAAGAAAGAAGAAAACGCTAATAAAAAATTAAAGAGTGCGAAAAGGAAAAGAAAGAAAGCAAATATTGAGAAAAAAGGACGATAGAGAGAAAGAAGAAGGTAAAAGAAAAGAAGAGAGAAGGCAAAATGAAAGAAAAGAAAGAAAAGAAAAGAAAAAAGAGAAAATTAAAACGAAGAAAAAAGAAAATAAATTATGAAAGAAACTATATATAATACTAAAACACAAATCTTCTAGACATGTATATTTGTTCTGATATACAGCTTAAACATTATATAATACCCCAATCAATTTAGGAGCATATTGTAACTTGAACCCCTACTGAGGGCAGTGCAAAATTTCATTAAAATTAGACAAGGGGTTCTTGAGCTGGAGCCGGGTTTTTTTTTCTGTTTTTACGCGAAATTCAATAATTGTTTTCGATACACATTCTTATATCAATCCACGCATATAAACAAAAACTTACATATTATATTCCAACTATTATCTGCGTGAAAAATAATAAATATTTATAAAACATCATAACATCAAATAAATTTAAATATGCATAACACAACATATATTTATACAATTCACTACACTAAATTAAAACTTCTTTTATGAATAAATAGCAACTACTTGACAGGTAGAGGCTACGTTGGTGTGTCATTGTAAAAAGTAATCTGTACGGGTGGACAATTTCACAAATAAACAGATGCATGCTGGTTTGCCGCCGTTACGTATTTTGAATTAAATGAGAGGAAGAAACAAGTATGTATATAATTATAACTTTGAAAAAAAATTACCTAGAAATAATGTCGGATAAAAAATCCTTTGAAAAGGTTTTTTTTTTTTTTACGTTTCGACATGAGACTGAAGCTAGATTCATAGAAATCCCAGCGAGAAAATGCGTTTTCCTTAAATAGATAATTTCAACCTTTCAGGCTAATATCTCTGCCCGAACTGGTAAAGACACACATTGACTCAAAAAGTGCTTCCCCTGGTGCTAAATAAAGGACAAATGTTCAATTATTGTCAGATGGACAATCTTTCTTTAGTTGGATTTCTCAATCTAGGCTGGTTGTTATCAATAAAAAAATCAGGGCTAGCAATTCAAACACTTTTACCAACTAAAAATAACGTTTATATCATTAATAATAGTAATAATAATAATAATAACAACAATAATAATAATAACATCACCCAGACGTGGTTACGGAGATAGGACCTGTTGCAATTTTATGGGACTACACAATACACACTGACAGAACAATCAAAGCCAACCCCCCAGACATTGTTATTAGAGACCACAAACAAAAAAGTACCTCCTTATTGATATGGCAGTCCCTGAAGACTGCAATGTATCTTTGAAGATATTCAAAAAGCTGTCAAAATACAAGGACCTTGAAATAGAAATCTCAAAAATGTGGCATATGGGAACATCAACAATCCCTGTTGTAGTTGGAGCCCTGGGATTGGTTGGAAAAGATTCCAGTAGATTAACTGAAGGGATTACTGGAAGTCCAACAGATACAAAAAATTGTTCTAAGTACAGCCCACACTTTACGAAGGGTTTTATCTGTGTCAAGTTACCATTTCTAACCATAGGTGCCTAGACGGGACCCAGAAAGAAATGTGTACACGCCAGAAATCAAAGGAAATAATAATAATATGTATGTATGTATGTAAAGTCTTTTGTAAAGGAGTAGAGGTGTATCCCTTATTTCCTGTTTAGGATTTAGTTTCCGGTTCCTTGTAATGTCTTTTCATTCACTTTCATTCACAGTAATCCTTCAAATGCTAGTGGCATTTTCGCCTTGCTTTGGGTGAATTGATAAAAAAATAGAATCAGCGAAAATCAAGCAATATATTTAAAGTTTGAGCCAATGTTATGTCAATAAAAATGAACAACAATAAGTGATGGTACCCAGCTAACACGGAACCATTTTTGAACAGGAGTAGAGGTTTATCCCTTGTTTCCTGTTTAGGATTTCCTTCTAAATTCTAATACAACTCTAGACTTCTAAAGTCTCCGCTTACATTCTGAAATGTATACTATTATTTGGTTTCCTATTCCTTCTAAAATCTTTTCCTTCTTTTTCACATACACCAGTCCACCTCCCACTTTGAATCTTAGTGGCATTATCGCCTTGCTTGGGGTGAATTGATTAAAAAAAATAATCCAGGCTGACGGCCCCTATATATATGTATGTATGTGTGTGCGTGTATGTGTGTGTGTGTGTGTGTGTGTGTGTGTGTGTGTGTGCATTCTATTTGTAAAAAAATCTTACATTAAATAATATTTTTTACGTCTCCATCTAAAGTCTGAACTTTTATTTACTACTTATTTATTCTTCTCAGTAGATTCAACTATCGCCCGGTTCACACTCCTCACCAGTCTTTTGAACAGGGGTAGAGGTTTTTCCCTTATTTCCTGTCTAGGATTGGGTCTCCGGTTCCTTCTAAATTCTAATTCAATTCTATACTTCTAACGTCTCATCTTAAATTCTGAAATTCAAACTATTATTGGACTTTTTTTTCAGATGGTTACTTGTTTCGTTCAATGTAACACCATTTGCTAGGAAAGTCATTACAAATTTTCAAAATGTTTTTTCCCTTGCTAGACTCAGCTAATCAAAAACAAAATCCTTCTTTTATACGTGAATACAATATTACAATTTACGTATGCTTCTTTGGAGTAACGTCCAGCGCAGACAATGGCTGTACGAGAACTAATCAACAGTCGAGACAATAGTGTCTGGGTGTGATAAAAATTTAATGCAATCACGGATGATGCAATATTTTTCAAGGCCAAATAAATTTCATTATACATCCCAAAAATAGATTCATATTACTGCAAACCACTGCAAATGAACTAATCTGAGGAAAAAATAGAAATTGTTTACACTATGTCACTCTAGTGGGTCTACAACTAACCAAATGGTGAAAGAAAGGAAACTAACGGAGTTGTTTCAACGAATTTTCACAAGAGTGTATATATATATATATATATATATATATATATAAACCAAATACTGATTCACGGGTCAGAATCGTGGACCTATATAGGCTCCATATCAATCAGCTGGATGTCCTCCACAAAAGTTGTCTCCTCGGGATCTGTGGTTATACCTTTGACGATAAAGTGTTCAATACTGATCTTCTCGCAAAATGAAACAATGAAAGACGACGGCGAAAAAGGTTAGCAAATATTCATGTGGCTGTGTCACTGTTGCGCAATATGTGGGCTTGTATGCAGGTCACTAGCAGGTCTGAAGTGTCAGATATGACACAAGCATATAAACTAAATGAGGTTTTCAAACCTTCATGCGTCGGAATCGCTGAGAGAGTTTACACACACACACACACACACACACAAAAACACACATATATATATATATTATAAATTAATTGATTTAAAAAAGGTTTTTTTTCGCTACACAGTTCTAACCATGTTTCAAAAATGTTTGAAACATGGTTAGAACTGTAATAACAAAAAAACATATTTTAAATCAATTAATTTATAATATTAATGCTCTGTAAATTTACATTGAGCACTATTTTGTAAAAATAAAATATCTATAAGAACACCGGATTATATATCTTACTGTTCTTTCTTTTTATATATATATATATATATATATATATATATATATAATTATTTACTTCAACATATGATTCCTCCGCTACATAAGAGTTCTCATGTTTCAAAAACAAGAGCTGAAAACTTCAAAATAATTATTAGAATTAAATTGATTTAAAATACTAAGCTCTGTTTCATCTTCATGCGAAATTTTAGGAATAAACTAATCTTGAAATTCACGCGTCTTTACAAGCATATTCATTATTAAAGTTAAATTACTATGGAAACAAATGTTTAAATAAGGGGCGTAAGGGTTAATAATTTGTATCAATATCTCTATTTAGTTACGGAAAGGGGTCATGTCAAGGTAGGGTTGGGGTGTCGAAATTAAAGCGGAAGATGGCATTTTTAAACTCATACCGTCTAGTCTGGTTCACCGAAAAGTGTCTATAATTATTTACCCGCTGCCTCACGCAGCAAGATATAGCACAAGGCCGAGTTTAAAATGGAGTATCCGATCCCGTAGGCTCGGGCAAAAATTCCCCAGAGACCACGTAAAAACGGAGTCAGTTTTCCGAGATGAGACTCTGCCCTTCTGACATAAGCCAGGTAAATCTGGTGATTTATTTATTTTTTATTTTATTTTTTTCTAAAAGGGTTGTCTGTATATAAAAGTGTCATATTGATCTACAATTTGATTTTTTTTTAATTTTTTGACGACTTCATAAATGTTTTTTTTAAGATTGGGTTGGGCTTTTAAACCTTTATTTTAGACACTTTGTATTTATTATTTAATTATTTGTTTGTTTATTATGCTAATTATTTAATGCGAAAATTTGTTGATGTCGGCAAAAAAACCGTTAACTCTTGTCTATGGTTTAATAAATTTTCATTATTTAGAAACTTAATAATGTGTAGTTTTTCATGTAGGCATAAAGGGCATGGGTCATCCCAGGTTTTACAAATTCCTGTTCTATTTATTATTTTCCATTTTACTTTTAGTGTATATATATATATATATATATATATATATATATATATATATTAAAATTACTATGTTTATGCTAGGAAAGTGCTCAATATCAAAGATAAAACAGTTGTCGATATAAATAATGTAAGCATAGAATTTACCACTATATGGTTACTATCAGTTTCACTCATTAACATTATCTTCAGGTTTAGTCGGGCTTACGGCCATATAGTGTTGAAACACCTGTTCCCATACGATCATTAAAGTTAAGCCAAGTTGAGCCTGGTCAGTACCTAGATGGGTCACTGCTTGTGAACACCAAGTGCTGTAAACTTGGGTGTGCGGGTGGTGTAATGGATAATGGCTCGGTATTGGTAATCGAGTTTACGTGCAAATATCATTGGGAAAGCTATGAATCCAATTATTCTCCTCCTCCCCCAGCTATAGGTTAATTAATAAGAGCTGTATCATTGAACCATTCTTACATTCGTTAATGGGTTTATTTTAATTAAATTTGTAAAACATTAAAAGAATTTTTAATGGATACCCATGTTTGCAATATATACACCAGTTTTATTTATTTTTAAGAAGTGTGTATGGGTTTCACAGTTCTAGCATCACTTCTTCATAGTCAGCCTTCTCGCCCCCCCCTTGTACCTGGAAAGAAACAATGCAGTTATTAATAAGAACAGTTGAAATTAATGCATGCAAGATTTCACAGTTCTAGCATTACTCCTTCAAAGTCAGCCTATGAACTTTTCAGCCCATCCTCGTAACTGGAAAGAAACAATGCAGTTATTAGTAAGGAGAGTTGAAATTCATCCATGCAAGGTTTCACAGATCCAGCATCACTCCTTCATAGTCAGCCTACGGTACGACGGAGGCTGAAAGGTTCATACCTTTCAGCCTCCGTCGTACCTTAGCAAGTGACGCATCTCTTGATGTATATTCATCCAATATCATTCATAGAATCTTTCTGCAGGTAAATGAAGATCATAATCATCTTTCCTTATCAGATTTTATAAAAAGATAAATTTATATTTATTTGAATACCATTGTGAAAATTCAAAGCAAACAAAAATGAAAGCGGAAAGATTCAAATTATAACAGAATAATATAATGAAGGTTTGGAAAAATGTGTGAATTAAACAATTCTGGGTTGAAAAATTTTGATTGTATCGAACAGAGTCAAATGAAAAAAAAATGATGTTTTATTTTTCGATTTTATAGCTTTTACATCCACATTGTGTTCATGTTGAATCAATATAAAAGCTGTTTCTTTATATATTAGATTAAAGCGAGTGCGTTTATATAATTTTTCAAATCAATTACCTAATAAAAAAAAATTGCAAGTCTGGCTCAGTATTATCTAAAATTCAGTTGTATAATTTCTAGTTTAAAATAGAAATAACTGTTGTTGCAGTCATTTCTGTTGCAAACGTAAAATAAAATTATCGACAAAACACGGAAACGTTCGGTAACTTTCGGTGAGTCAAATATACCACGAAAGCTGTTATTTTTTTTCTTTTTTCTAATCTTGTTTTGATAAATAAATTAAAATTTTCAAATGTGCGTTCCTTTGCTGAAGCAAATTCTTAAAAGAAAAATTTTTTTATTGATTTGATGCGATTTTTACATATATTTAGGAATAAGCTGAGTGATATAATTTTTTTTTTTAAGCGTTTCACCCCAAGCAAGGCGGGAAGCCACTAAGACGCAAGGGGTTACAGAAAATTTAGAGCAAGATCAGATAGGTGTGATAGAAGAAAGAAGGGTAGTGAATAGATCAAGGCAACTGGAGATGTCGATTGACATTACATTTGAATAGCTGGAGATTATAGCTCTCATGGAAACTGGAATAGGGAAGGGAGTTCCACGGGCGAAAGGTGCGAGGTATGAAGCTATTGGAGTAGAAGAGACGGCTACATTTAAGAGTTTCGACAGTGAAGGGGTGAGAGCGGGATGCCAGCCTCGTAGGGCGCTTGAATTCATGACGTCTGGGAACCAGCGAATGCAGCTCATCGGAGCAATTTCCATGAAAGTATTTGTAAAACAGACAGAGGGAGGCGACGGCGCGTATGTGAGAAAGTGACTGTAGACGAGATGCCAGAGCAGGGCCAATTATATTGCATATCCGCCTCTGGAGCCTATCAAGAACCCCGAGGCAAACAGAGGGGGAACCAGACCATATATGGCAGCAATACTCCATTTTTTTAATCATTTCACCCTAAGCAAGATGGAAATGCTCCTAGTGTGCAGGAGGATACAGAAAGTGAAAATGAGAGAAAAAAAACTGATGATAGTGAGGATTACGGAAAGGACAAATGATGAACGGGATTTAAGAAGATGGCGATTGATGTTGCATTTAAATGTTAGTAAACGAAGCAAGAAACCAGAAGGAAGTTCCACAGGCGAGAAGTACGAGAAAAGAAACTATTTGTGTAGAAGTAGCGGTTGCATTTAACTATTTCAGCGGTAAGAGGGTGGGACCTAAATGCCAATCCAGTAGGATGCTAAAATTAATGTTTTGGGGGCATCAAGGAAAAGATGTATTCATTTCTATGCACTTCGCAGATACCTGAGTAAGAGCCCCCATAGAGGAGAACATGACTAAAGATTGTGTGTACGCTATCCCACGCAGCTGTGGAAAGGAATATAAAGGGGAGACAGCCGCCCCCTCAAGCTAAGGCTTCAAGAACACCAGAAAGCTGTAACACGAGGGGAAGTGGAAAATTTAGTCATGGCTGACGACATTTGGAGAGAAAAGGGAGATCATCGCCCTCTGAGGGATCAGGTTGAAATCATAGACAAAGAACACCATTGGAAAATTCGTAAATTTAAGGAATCAGAACATATGCTAGGTCACAAAATCTCCTGAGCCGACCAAGCATAGAAATGAATACAATATGGGAATCAGTAATAAAGAGTGCCAGAGAAAAGCGATAATAAGAACAAAAATTGCAATATGAGCTCTGGTAAAAAAAATGCAATGATAACAGCCAAACTTGCAATATGAGCACTGGTAAAAATGGTTGCTGAAGATATTAAGTTTATAAGTCCCAGAAATTCATATACAGATGTCCTTAAGGCCACATGACACAGTGGATAAATGCGTTGGTTAGATCCAGTGACAGGACCCAAAGAGTGTGAGTTCAATACCTGGAGAATCTGAAGAGGTGAATTGACAGGAGATAACTCATGAATCACATCCATTAGACATGGTACATGGAACTAGAACAGTCTAGAGAGCGAAATAAAGGGTTCAGTTCAGGCCGGGGTGTACAACGGCAGAAACGTTGTGATAAATACGGCAACAAAGAATAGTCCGAATAATGTAAATAGTATAGATAGATAGATGGGTAGATAGAAACCAGCCTCTAGAATAATTTCAGACATAATGCACTATTAACAAGCATACAATCTACATACACGACGGAAAAATTATGCATGAAACAGACTGTCGTTGTTTAGTGTTGACCTCAACAAGATACAATCATATATATATATAATTATTTTTTTTTAAATATGTCTCGAAACAGTAATATGAAACCGAAGCTTAAATCATCTTAAAATTTAACTTTAAAATTCAAACTTAAAATTCGTAGCTCGGTTCCATTATCAAGCGATGATAAGAATAACTTACGAAAAAAATGGGTTTAATCTATTTTTAATTTAAGTTGGTGGCGTTAAGTGTAATTCAATTTTTTTTTTTATCAAGGAGGTGTTGGCTTTTCTACGAATCTAGAAAGCAAGTGTATCTTTGTGTGGCAAATTTAAGGTCGATTAAGGTTGGGTAGGTGTTATGATTTCTGTCTAGCTACACCGACTTTCGTCAAGCAGTAAAGTTATTAATGTCTGGTTTATTTGATCTTATATAGGTCTACGCTACAAGATATTTGGCGTTTATTATTTATTTATTTTCTTTTTTAAAACTACATCGAAATTTTCTTAAAGAGATTTTCAAATATGATTAAGTCATATTTTTATACTTATATTTTTATTTAAAATTATCTAAAATACTATATTTATTTAATTTACTAATAGACTATATATATGGCACTGTAAATTTAATATATTAGAATTTAATTACGCATTTATAAAGTATTTAATTTATGATCAAATAACAGATATAAATAGGTGAATTATCTTTTATAATTAATTATTTTTTAAGGAGTGTATTAAACAATGTCTGCAGAAAACTACTATTTCATTTCTTTGATTTCATAAATTTTTATTTTTCCGAAATTTAATAATATATAAATTTTCATGTAGGCATAAAGGACTTGGTTTATCTTTGGATGAGCCATGTCCTGTATGCCTACATGAAAAATCCTATTATGTGTATGTGTATGTGTGTGTGTGTGTGTGTGTGTGTGTGTGTGTGTGTGTGTGTGTGTGTGTGTGTGTGTGTGTGTATACCTGTATTACTAGTATTTAGAGCAATTAAGCTCTCCCAAATTGAAAATCTGGAGCATCACAGTCTTCCTATCATTCTTTTCATTTTTCCTTGTGTTCGACTAAATATCGATTAACAAACGTCTGTTGCAAATGTAAAATTTCTTATTCCTAAAAAACGAACCTAACTAAATAAATAAGACGCTGAAAATATTTACAAACCCCGCCTTTTTATTTATCAAATATTAATCACATTCAATTCAATTGCGTTTATTTTTTATGCTTGCATTTGCATTCATAAATAATGCGCTGAGTACATACATGCATGTGTAATTGATGTTTGCATAAATGCCTAAATGTGTGTGTATATATATATATATATATATATATATATATATATATATATATATATATATACACATACATACACACACATATATATATATACGTATGTATAGTTGGATTTATGAAATGGTTTACACACACACACACACATACGTATCTGAGTGTCTATGTGCATTTACGTGAGTGTGCACATATCAAATTTAATAATGTTTCAGAATAGATTTGATGAGTAAAGACAAAAAAGCTCGACATTAGTTCAGAATGTGTTCATGAATTATAAAAATCAATAACGGCTGTCAATAAACATAAATATTTCAGATAGATAGATAGATAGATAGATAGATAGATAGATAGATAGATAAACGAATAGATAGATAGATAGATAGATAGATAATGAACAGCCTTATAGATAGATAGATAGATAGATAGATAGATTGAAGGATGCTTTCTACAATAAAAGACAAATTGAAAGACAAATTCTCGGATTATACTGGACAATGGAAAATATTAAGAACTGCTTTCGTTTCTAAAATTGGATCTTAGAGGTGTTGATGATTCCTGGAAGAAAAATTAAACCTTTTATAATTCCCCTAACAAGACAGACCTGTTACATAAAATGTCAGAATTACTTTCCAATTCTAGAAAGGTACCTTCTTTTCTTTTTTTTCTTTCTATTTTTTTTTTTTTTTTTTTTTGCTTTAGAGGTTTTTATTTCATATTTTTCAGCGTCGGGGCCAAATGTCTTCTGCATTAAGTTATGATCCATCATAATAATAATTTTTTCATCTTAGAATAGAATTCGAACCACGATCATTAAAGTCACTTTCTAAATGGCTACCAGAAAGAAAGTTGCCTGCATATGATTCCGTTTGAATTCATCTGCTGAGGTGTTATCCATATTTACGTTATTTATATTAGGACACTTTTCCTCATCATTGTTGTTGTCATTACAATGCTTCGTCCATTGTATCCTCCGGCCTTCATCAGGTCTATATTTATTGCATAGAAAAATACCCTTTTCTATTCTAATTATTAAATATAGACTTATTCATTCACTAAGATAAGAACGGCTGCCCATTGGAATATGTTTGCAGTATAAACAACATGTTGCTTTTGTCAGTGTTGAAGAAATATAAATGTGCCTGAGTAGGAGTCTACAACAGGGATTAACTACCCCTCCACACACACACACTAAGTAGATCCCATAGTTACCCGAGACTAATGGATCTGTACGAATATGGTTAAACAGTAATTGGATATGAAGAGAATATAGATTAACTTTTTTTTTCATTTTTTTTTTTTACGTTCAAACCCACACCTATATCCAAACATGGTCTGATCCCTTCTTCTGTTGTTATTTAATTTCTACTCAAAGGAGAGGATAAAGGAAATAAAATCTGCTTTTGTATTTATTACGCATGTATAGCATTTAACTTCTGTAGTAAAACCATTTTATATTTGAGAATATTCAATTTCATTCCTTATTTGGCTGTCAGTGTGTACTGCGTTGATGTGTGAGTTAGTCGTTTATGAGGGAGGTCGAGACGGTGGGGGCGGGTTTACTGCTCGGCTATGAGTAAGAGAAATTGGTGCATAAGATTTTATATTATTGAAAGAGGAGAAAAGTGTACAGAAAAGATGACAAAAACAAATTCTTTCGACAGATATTTTAAAAATAAGCGCCTCTAGGTTTCAAAAACAATTTTACTTTGGAATAGTTTAGTGGAATGAAAGTAAGTAAAACAATTTTAATTGAAATGGAGAAAAAAACAGAACTATGATCTATATTTGATTACGTAAAGAAAGATATGAAATGAGACTGATAGACAGATAAATAGATAGATAGAG